AGCCCGGCAACCCCCAGCAGCCCGGAAAGAACGTTGTTACCGTGAACTACGGACCCGGTGCCTCCAACCGCAAGTGAGTAAAACCGCGAATACACTACCCGGACTAGTGGTATCGGAATATTGGGGACTGACGAGGTCTTACTCCTCTAAATAGGATCTACAAGGGTGTTGCCAGCAAGACCGCCAAGAACGGCTACCGCGGTGATATCCGCGAGGACGCCGTTGCCCGCGTCAGCGCCATCCGCCGCGCGCAGAAGGCCAAGAAGGAGACTCCTGCCCGCAAGCCCCGTGGCGCCCAGGCCAAGAAGGCCGCTGAGAAGGAGTCTGAGTAAATGCAGACTTCGAGTGAAGCTGGGATTGGGGTGGTAGAACGAAAACACGAATAAAACTTGGGATATAAGGTCACAAGATCTGGGCACGCAAAAGGCCCGTGCTGGGCAAGGGCAGGAAGTGTCCATGTAATTTAGCATTATTTGCTACCGGGACTATGCCCCGTCTGGCCAACCCTGCAGAGAATCAAAAATTCAAAAAAACAAAAGCGATAATGAATGATGCAAAACCCGGAAGGAATGAAAGAAAGAAAGATCATAGGCGGAGCGATTTACCAATAATGTGCGGGAGAACTTATGCGAATCTTCCTCCTATTTTCAGAGCAATTTCGGGAGGAAAGAAAGGAAGGTTCTCCCCGTTATGAGGGTATGCACTGATGCAGTAGCCGCCATGTGCTCCGATAGCCGTCCGTCGGGCCGAAGAGCTGTAGAATTCCCATTGCTATTCTTCGGAGGAACCTTGACCATCCGCCTTTTCCCGATTCAAGGACCAACTCGGGAGACTGGTTGCTAAGGTGGGCACGAAAACCACCGGAAATCCTGGATTTCTCTTGTTGGTCATCGTCATCGTCATCGTTCCGGTGGATGTCGATGCCGGATGGTAAGGCACGCGGCAGTTTCAATTGTGTACGCCGAGGTTGAGTCACCCCGTAGACATTTCTGCCTAAGATAGAGGAGACGGGGGTCCTAATGGTTATGATGGTGGTGATATAGATGCAGACGTAGATGCAGGTGCCGGTCAACTTCACCGCGTATTGTATGTATAGAAGCATGTTCTTGACACTTCCCCAGCGATTGGGAGACCCCACACATGTGATCTGGATCCCGTGGTAGGTACCAGGTACTTACTCCTGGACAGTTCCGGATACCTAGACTATGCCCCCGTAACTAAGGCAGCTAAGGCACCATCCTGTAGGTACGAGAGTACGGAGTATATAACGGTGGGCCCCTTCCCCTCTTCTTCCTCTCTCCATTAACCACGCACTGCTTCGTTCTACTTCTTCTCCGTACTGAGGATTGTTATTCCATTTCTGGTGAGTGGTGGACATTGTTTGCTTGTCGCTGATCTCCTGATCTGATCCCCGTTGAGCCACTTGCCCGGACTGGTTCACCGTTGCGTCCCCCCAATTTACCCCTCCTTCCTTTCCCCCTCCTTCTCTCTTGCTCTCCCCCACTTCCTCTCTTCCTTCCTCCCCAATTTTCATTTCCTTTCCACCCATCCTCCTTTGACTTTAGTGGTTTTGGTATTCTATCCCTATAAATCTTAAGCTTGCTCGCTATCTTCTCCTCAACACTCTGGTCAAACTAGCTAACCCCATCAATCTACCCCACCTCAGTTATCTTCGCATCCAAATCAGACACCATGGTTAAAGCTGGTGAGCAAAACCACGGGATTTCGTCCACCTATGCCCTTCCATATGCTAACGTAGCTTGCTAGCTGTTCTCGGTGCCTCTGGCGGAATCGGCCAGGTTCGTGCCCCTCTCCCGGTGTTCCCCCAAACATTCCTCTTGCCCTGCCACGGCTGACACGTTTGTTTTCATTGATTCGCAGCCCCTCTCTCTCCTCCTGAAAGCGTCTCCCCTGGTTGACGAGCTTGCTCTTTACGATGTCGTCAACACGCCCGGTGTCGCTGCTGACCTCTCTCACATCTCCTCGGTTGCGGTAAGTGCACTCGGACGTGAAACTATACGCGGCCGCGGTGCTTGTCTCATACTGATTCAATACCCGAGTAGAAAATCTCCGGCTTCTTGCCCAAGGACGACGGTCTGAAGCAAGCTCTGACCGGAACCGATGTCGTCGTCATCCCCGCCGGAATTCCCCGTTAGTCAAGCCTCCCTCGGGACTCGTGGCGATACCAACTAACTTAACACAGGCAAGCCGGGCATGACCCGTGATGACCTTTTCAAGATCAACGCAGGCATTGTCCGCGATTTGGTCAAGGGCATCGCTGAGTTTGCTCCCAAGGCTTTCATCCTGATCATCTCCAACCCCGTCAACTCTACGGTCCCGATTGCCGCTGAAGTTCTCAAGGCTGCCGGCGTCTTCGACCCCCAGCGCCTGTTTGGTGTGACTACCCTGGATGTTGTCCGCGCCGAAACCTTCACCCAAGAATACTCGGGCCAGAAGAACCCCTCCGCCGTTAAGATCCCCGTCGTGGGTGGTCACTCTGGCGAGACCATTGTTCCTCTTTTCAGCAAGACCTCCCCTTCGTTCCAGATCCCCTCAGACAAATACGATGCTCTAGTCAACCGTGGGTACCCCGTTCACATGTATGCGACTGGAATCGGACGCTTTAGCTAACGGCTCGCCCACAGGCGTCCAATTCGGTGGCGATGAGGTTGTCAAGGCAAAGGATGGCGCGGGTTCTGCCACTCTTTCCATGGCATTTGCCGGATTCAGGTTTGATTTCTCGTGGTAGATGGGACAAGGATTGTGGGTGCTAATGTACTGCAGGTTTGCGGAGAGTGTTATCAAGGCCTCCAAGGGCGAGAAGGGCGTCGTGGAGCCTACTTTTGTTTACTTGCCCGGCGTGCCCGGCGGCGAAGCTATTGCCAAGGAAACCGGTGTTGAGTTCTTCTCTACTCAAATAGAGCTCGGGGTACGTTCATCAGCTTGACAAAAGTTTTGCTCATTCAATGCTCGGGTCCGTTAACACTACATATAGACCAAGGGCGCCGAGAAGGCCATCGACCTCCTCGATGGCGTGACCGACAAGGAGAAGGAGCTTCTTGCAGCTTGCACGAAGGGCCTGAAGGGCAACATTGAAAAGGGTATCGACTTCATTAAGAACCCCCCACCAAAGTAAACGCGCCCATCCCCGTCTTTCACTCACCGCGACTATCTTGATTAGTCGGCGATGAGCCTCGGATCGCACACTATCCCTCCATCGAAAAGACACCTTTCAGTGGTCCCCCCTTTGTTGAACTCCGAGGACATGGAAAGAGCCCTGCTAATCATTGTGATCCCGGAAAGATAGGCTTTAAAGGTATGCGATAAGTGAAGTCGAGTGATATATTGTTGGTGACGGTTGTCGGAGGGTCGGATGCAGGGCAGCTCAGACACATAACTGAAATAGATAATCATTCTTCGTACCTGCAATCAGTCCACGTAGACTTATTGGCGGGATGGGCGCCAGTGCCATGAGCGAATGTCCGTCGACGCCAGCTGATTGGATGTTCGCTCCCATCCAAACTCCTTTCTGAATCCATGATTTCTCCTTTTTCTTCCCCACACTCGGGTATGGACGTAGAGGCACTGGACGCACAGGTACTCGTGCAAGGTTGAGTGTAGGGCTGGGAAAGCAAAACATGCCTTTCTCGCTCAGGGTTTGGGTTGAAGTGTTTTGATTTGGAATGTCGCCCCTGGGAGTTCGGACGTCTCTGCTTGCACCGTGGTGTGGATGCCCAAGCTTGACAACGCGCCGCGGATAACACCGCATGGAAACCATAAATACTGGACCGCGGTCAGAAAACGTGGGCGAAAGAGATTGATGCATATCATACCGCTTGAGCCATCTCCACCGCGTCGCTCCGCACCGACATGCTCATTCTAGAGAATGGTCGGAACGAGTTATCGGTCAAAACATACACGCCCTAGAATAGAAACGGAGTCAGCTTCGGGTTGCTTGCTTGCTTCTAGCGGCTATCCCCTGCTCCTCCTCCTCCTCCTCCTTCTCACAGTTGGATGCGATTTGTAGGGTAAAAGGTAGAACAAACCCGATGGTTGGTTTTCAAATTGTCGATTTGCTTCCTGAACAGAATCGTCCATAGATCCTTGCAGAGGAATTTGATCACGTCAAGGTTGTCGGTAAATCGCGGGCGATCTTGAGAAAATCTGCGCCAGGGCCCAAATGTCAGACTCGATAGAGGAGTAGAAAGGGGCAATGGGGGAAATGAGCGCCCGCTTAATGCTACGATAGAAGTGAGCGATGCTTACCGCTCCGCAAGCCCTTGTCCAACACGGTGACCTAGCGATTCCAGACGGAAGAACGTCGATTCGCGAACCTCGTCGTCGTCTAGGAGTTTCTCTTCGGCAGCGAGCTCTCTCGTTAGTCGTTCGGCCATGGGCACGAGCTCTATCAGGAGGAAGTCGAGACACGACGTATTGAGAACGCGTGCATTGGGTTCGGTGACGTTGGCAGCCGACGCGGACGCGTCGAAGGACATAACGACAAGATTGGAGGAGGTCTTGAGGGGCGTTTTGAAGGTGAAAGAGAATGCGTGATGGTGAATGTGAATGATAGATCGGACTATTACGACGTTGGTGCTCCGTTAAGGCGGAGGGTTGATGAGTAGTGCGGAGAGGCGGATCTCATCATTGGCTCTGGAGCCCCTTAGGACGGAATACTTTTCTACATGCTCAAATAAGACCAGATGACGACCTCTCTTCCTACAACAAGAGTACACGGAGAACAAGGGGCCAGGACAAGAGATACAAAATTAAGTTTGCGAGTCTCGTTGGTTTCAACAAGTCATTTCATTTCAATCGCTTTCACCAGCAACTCCCGAAGGGTTGTCATATCCCATGCTCCTAACCTTGACCCGTGTCACGCAGCCCGCTTCCTGCTCCCTTCAGAATAGAAGCTGAATTTAAAATAATAATAATAATAATAAAGAAATGAGAAGAAAGCACCGCAACGCCATGCAGATAGATTCGAGTGACCCGTAGTGTCATGTGTCATAAACCCCATTGCGACCGGATGATTCGGGACTATGTTGACTTCCATACGAGTTAACCTTGCCATTGACGGTCCCCCCATTGTACGAACCGCGGAAGCCTGGTCGCGGCAAAGAACGGCTGAACACATTCAATGCCGGACGTTTGGTTGGCCTCACAGGTGATTCCTCCTCGTCATCACTACCGGTAAGATCAATGACCTGAGCTGCGGGGCGTTTATTCGTGGACAGACGAGCTATAGAGGATGCGGTAGAAGGCTCTCGTGACTGAACTGGCGTCCGTTGTAGGGTTAGGCCGCGACTGGGGAGGGATTCCCGTTTGACAATTGGGACTCCGGGTTCTTTGATTTCTATCAAGTCATCATCATCATCATCCTCCTCCTCCTCCTCCTTCAATTCTTCGTCGTCGTAGTCATTGTATGACGCGGGGGTAACGCCTCCTGCGGCCCCGTTTTCATCATCTTTGGGCCCTGACCATGTGCCATCTGGCTCTATGACAATCTGTTCAACGTCCCCGGATGTTGAGTGGAGTATATCATCAACATACCTGCCAGGTTAGTCGGGTCATCCATCCCAGGCATTGTGAATTTTACTCACTGGTCAATTTGCAATGATTCAAAGCTCGTCGCTTTGGAGCATACAGGACACGACCAAGTTGGTGCTTGTTCTTGCAATTGCAAAAAAGAGGAAGCATCAAAGCACTGATTATGCGTGCACTTCAGAGATCGACAGGGTACCTGAATTCGAAGAGTGGACAGGGGGCATTTCAATGACATAACGCTGGATGTGGCCACAAGATCTGTATCATCCGCCCTGTTTTTCACTGTTACCTGTTAGGAGGCTTTGTCCGTATTGGGTAGGGAAACCTCATACTTTCTCGCAGGACCTGTTCCTTAGAGATGATCTTTCTCAGTTTCAATTCGGCCACAAGCTCCTCCACCGGATGGCGTTGGACAAGGTTGATTCGAACATAAAATTTCTGGTTCTATAATATTAGAACACGGGTCCGTAAACAGAAGGGGTCAAAAACATAGGAGGAGGGTTAAATAAAGGGAGGGCGCCAGGCATTCCGGAGTAGAACACAATACCTACTTTTTGTGTCAAAGCATAGGTCATCACGACGTTGTTGGAATAGCCTGGCTTCTTGCGAATATAATTGGTCACATCCGCAGGCTGCGTTGTACCCGGTTTGTTCTTCAATCCTCGCAGATTTGCCTTAACTTCATCAAGATTAGCTTTGAGCTCAACCTGGTGAGGAAAAGCGATATCGGATTTGGCAGGCTGGTTGAGACCGGCTTCCGCGGCACAATAGACCATTATCCTTATATTAGGATCGGATTGCAGCTGTGTGATAATAGGTGATGTAAGAACAACTTTGAGTTCTACATAATCCCTGGTCTGTTCTCGAGCTTGTAGGTGTTAGTCACAATTGCACATCACCATGGATAAAGAGCATCAATCCCAAACCTTTGCACTCAACCGTTGGCGTAAGCGGCTCTAGTATTGTGTAGAAGGGGCTTTCTTTGAAACTCAATCGCTCTAGACATATGTGAGAATCTGTTTGAAGTCCCAGAAGAACAAGTCAAATTTGGGTTACCAGGAACTAATCTATTGGTTGGTATCGGAAAAGCAAGGGGAGATGGTCGATGCGACGTAGACATAGAAGGAGTAGCTGAGGGTGATTGATATTGCGGATTAGGTAGTTGCTGTGCTGTTGGGGGTCCTGGTAATGCCCGATGTGCTGTTGAATAGATGAATCTTCTCAAACTGTCGTAGCGATCAGTTTGACCTCCCTGATAAAGCCTTTCAATGTCTGAGATGGTTCACATTGGTCAAAAATTTTTCACGTGAGTGGGATTGGCACTTCTGGGTTTCCTGCAAGAAAACTGCCCGAAGAGATGGAGGTAAAGTGGGTTTAACACACATTCAATGATTCGAAGCTGCAGCGAAGCTTTAACCCCAGAGACAGCGAGTCCCTCACTTCTTAGAATGTCCTTGAGCTGTGCATTTGTTAATGTTTTTACCAGGGCCACCATGCTTTGTAGCTCCGGTGCTTGGGGGAAAGACGACATGGCTATTTAGATAGAAGAAGAAAAGAATCAATGGTAGCAGCAAGAGGGAAGATCGGGGTGTCACAGTTTGCTAAGCAGGCTTCAGTGAATATAACCTCATGGAATGTGAATCAAAAGGGAGGTGCCATTTCCAGCAGTTGTGTTCGACATTTCAATCCTTCCCTCTGTTTAGAGCCCGGTAGTACAGTGGGTGTAAGAAGGAACTTTGATCAGAACAGCAATCATGAAGCCACGGCCCAATTTTTTTTCTGAGATACAATGACGAGACTGTTCATAAGGTCCTGTTTGGTCGAGCAATGAGGCAAAAGGCCTACTTCCGCCGGAGAAGATTGCGGAGGTGAGGTTCTCCGATTCTGATGACATAAGAAATCTTTATCGGCATCCGCTATCTCTCTGAGGGAAAAAAAAAATTTCATTATATTATCAGGTCAAACTGCATCGCCACAAACGGGTTCTCCCCTCATTCTCTGTTCCTAGTCAATTTGAATTCTTGGCCTGACATTGATTTTGTGATTTAATTTAATTCTATCCTATCCTTTCCATACCTCCCATTTTACCTCTCAAACAATCAAACAACATGGCGAAGAGTGTTAGGGCCAGCGTTATGAAGCGCAACAAGGCGAAGTTGCGCGCGAATGTCTTTGGTCCTGTAGTTGATGCACGCACTGAGCGACTTTCCGCAAAACTTCAGGAGCTTGCTTCTCAGCCCAAACCAACCAACCAGGAAAATCCCAATGAGGAGAACAAGGGTACGCTTTTAAATCCTCTCATGCCTGCGATCATTGGCTTACAGAAAACAGAAGATAACAATGACGCTGCTGCGGAAGTCAAACCAAGTGAAGGTTAATATTTTCTGGCTGGATATGCACTCGTTTGCATTGTTCCATTTCACTCCGATTTGCTGACTCCTTGCAGATATGGATATCGATACGGTGTCGACCAAGAAATCCCAGAAGTCCGGACGCATTCACAAACGCCATAGCAACCGAAAGAACCGTTCATCCATCGTCTTTCGTCCGCATCAATCCAAGTCCAAGAAAGGTCCCAAGAGGAAGTGATTAACGGGTGCATATGCTATGATACAGGTTTTGGTTCGCAAAAGATAAGGCGTTCGGTGCTAGTTCTGATATGAATGTTGCTATAAGCACACTCTTTACTACGTTTAATTGCTTCTGCAGTGTCTGTCTTCCAAGGTACTTCAAAGTCTTCCATATGTTTCTAGGGTGAGGGGGCAAGTGAGCCCACCACCTGGGCCATGCAGGGCATACAGAGCAAACAGAGTATGGGACTATAAGGCTAAATGGGCCAGGCCTGCGATCAGCTCATCACATAAACCCAGACTCACTTGGATGGCCTGCTAACATCTACTGGAATTGTGCACGGAATTCGGCGGGGGCGAACCTGGAGTGGATCCAGAAGGCGGTGTTAGCTAGCAGTATTTTGAATAATCCCCAGGAAAGCTCCTTTTCCCACAGTCAAATGAAGGAAGACATGTCAGACTCGAAATCTCCCATGAATATTAGCCCGGAGCCCTTGAGTTGAATCTTGGTATAAGCGCGGGATGATCGCCGCCCCAAAACCTTTGGCGGTATTACTCGCCAATGTATTGATTCCTATAGCCGTTATCTTCTTCTCCGCAGGGTTCTTCCCATACAAACCCCTCCTACCTGGACTTGCCAGCTATGAGGGGACGAGTAAGGATGGAATTCCACCAAGGGTCTTCGATAAAGTGGTCTTCATGGTGGTTGATGCACTGCGCAGGTAGGGAAAGCCCTAGGCACAATAGGAATACACCAGTCTCAAACTGAATATCTTTCCTAGTGACTTTGTTTATTCAAATAGCTCTGGGTTTTCGTTTACTCAAGGGTACGTCGTTTTCCCCCATGACCTTGCGCCTTCGATAGAGCTAATTCATATCCTATTTAGGTTGATTCGATCTGGTGCCGCGCTGCCCTTCACAGCTTATGCTAGCTCCCCAACCGTCACAATGCCTCGCCTCAAGGCTATAACGACAGGCTCTGTACCCTCGTTCTTGGACGTGATTCTCAACATCGCTGAATCGGACACTTCGTCAACACTGGCCCACCAAGACACGTGGTTGGCACAGCTAAGGGCCAATGGCGGCAAGCTTGTCATGTACGGCGATGATACTTGGTTGAAACTGTTCCCGGGTATGTTTAGTCGAGCCGATGGAACGACAAGTTTCTTTGTGTCGGTTAGTAGCAATTGAAGATGCCTTGAACATTGCTAGTACAGGCTTAAACTTGTATTGATCATTCCTACATAGGACTTTACTGAAGTAGACAACAACGTGACCCGCCACATACCCGATGAACTTCTGCGTGACGACTGGTCTGCACTTATAATGCACTATCTAGGTTTGGATCACATAGGACATAAATCTGGCCCTAAAAGGTGTGTTATACTTCAACCCTGCCCTGCCCTCTCTGGGTGCTCTAACGCAATTTCAGCCCATATATGATACACAAGCAACGTGAGATGGACTCAATTGTCGCTCAGGTCTACACAGCTTTAGAACGGGAAGAACACCTTCAGTCTACTCTTTTTGTTGTTTGTGGAGACCATGGGATGACCGACGCAGGCAATCATGGTGGTTCGTCTGTAGGCGAAACTTCGCCGGCGTTACTTTTCATATCGCCAGCGTTGAAAAACCTAGGGACTCGTAATCAAAGCCCGGCAGAGCCCTCTAGCGATCTACAATATTACCGGACTATTGAACAAACCGATATAACCCCGACTTTGGCTGGACTTCTTGGTCTACCAATCCCTAAGAATAGCTTGGGCGTCTTCATTCCTGAGTTTCTGCAAATGTGGAATACAAGTAAGATTCTGTTCTATCTTTCTACTCAAGCACACGTCCCCGGGTTATCCAACCGTCACTAACCAAACAACAGAGTCGCAACGGATTCACATGCTTATGGAAAATGCTAAGCAATTGCTCCGAACCGTCGAGGCGGCATATCCTCGTCATACATTCGACCCCGAGTTCACGCCCGCACTGTGTGGTGATGAAATGTCAAACGGTATTGAGGAGGTCCACTGTGATTGGTCTCGTGTGCTCGAGCTACAAGATCAGCCTGATGGTGCGTTAAGAAATGTTGCGGAGACCAGCCTTTTTTCAGTTTTAAGAGATGCCCAAAATTTGATGAGTAGTGCTGCCAGTGATTATGACATAAGAAGCCTTTACATAGGTATTTGCATTACTGGTGTTGCCGTCTGGCTTTCCTTCGCCCCGATGCAGCACCTGCTCTGCGAATACAAACGCTCAGGGGCATTCCTTCTATTCGCTGTCTTAAGCTATAGCGGTATGATGTTTGCAAGTAGCTATGTCGAGGAAGAACAGCAGTTCTGGTATTGGGTATCTATGGCATGGACAGTATTCCTTTATACTAAACCCTCCGGCTCTCTTCGTGGGGGTTACAAATCCAACCACAAATCAACAGGTACCTTGTTCGCAAAACTTGGTGTCTTGGGATTGGCGACTTCTCTCCGAATATTGCGGCGGTGGAACCAAACTGGCCAAAAGTTCGCTGGTGAACCTGATGTTGCACGAGGATTTTTACCTTCCCATCCACATGTGCTGTGGGCCTTGGTGATTTTGACATATGCAGATGTTTTCGTTCATCTTGTGTTTGGCTTTACTCGGGCCATATCGTGGATTCTCATGGCGTTTGCTGTGGTGGCAGCGGCGTGCCTTTTCAAGATTTCCTCCGTGGCGTCCGATTCTTTTGAATTGATCGATGGCTCTTTCCTGGAACCCGTGGCCAAGCTTGTCGGCAGTGTGCCGCTCGTTTTGCATGCGAGGCTTGCCGCTTGCGGGATATTCCTACTTGTGGCATATTCGATATACCTCCGGAAAGCCACGGGACCCTTACAGCTCAAGAGAGGTAAGCGCGCCGAGGCGTCTCTGTTCACAATACGTGGCGGGTTATGCTGATAGCGAGTTAGGAACATGGCCAAGCGCCATTCTTCACGAGGCTTTGGCCCTCTTACTTCTGACACAGTCGAGGATCACGAACATTCCTATATTTCTAATCTTCAGGATACAGCTCAATATTCTGGCCTCGGTAGAGTTGCAGCCCATTGAGCTGGCCATCATGTCAATACTCATGCAATATACCACGTATTTTGCCTTGGGGGGCTCCAATGCAATCTCTTCGGTCGATCTGTCTAACGCATATAATGGCGTTGGAAGTTACAGCGTTGTGCTTGTCGGTTTTCTGACTTTCATAGGCAATTGGGCGGGCCCAATATGGTGGACGTCGGCGAGTTGGCTTCTCCGAAGGCAACAAACTCGAAAAGAAAGACAGTCCCATGTAACGACCTTAACTTTCCATACGGCAGTGATGTTGCTGTCTGTCATGGTTGCTTGCACGTTTTTGAGAACGCATCTCTTTATTTGGACAGTGTTCTCACCCAAGTACCTTTACACTATGATATGGGCCATTCTTTACCACTTTCCCGTGACTTTGCTCGGAGAGCTTGGCTTTTCCAAGATTACGACCGGATGAGAGACGTTGTTGAGCAGTCTCGACCGAGGGCAAAGAGAAGCAAAAGATGGAAGGCGTTGAGAGGACGTGAGAGGGGCCAGCGCTTGAGGTCATTGAGATATCTAGAACAAGGATAACCAAGCCGAAATTTCAACCGTACTATAGCAAGCCATTGAAGAGATCATCGATCGCATCTTTTTTCTTCCGCTTTTTTGCTTTTTTCGACTGCACAACACTTGCTGCGCTCGCTGTATCCGAGGCAGTCCCCAGGTTTGCCATATCGGAAGCTTTGATGCCAGACTCAGGCTTCTTAGGCAGCGGGGTGTGTGGCTTCCGCGTAAGTAGTTCCCCGAGGTCCTCGTTATTCCGAGGGCCTACAGATAGGGCTCTACTTTTGCTGGCTTTGTCTGCCCGGAATATGGTATTCAGTTCTTTGTCAATACCCGTTACTCTTGCAAGACGAGCCAACGTGGCCAAAAGTACTGTGCCGACTGTAGAAAATTGCACGTCTGCGACAACCGTTGAGAAGGCCCTGTTCAGGAAATCAAATGCCCGGGTCAGAAGACAGCGTATTCAACAATGCGATTGCACCGAATTCCCCTTTCAGACTTACAGATAACATCTTGGAATGGCGTCTGTTGCTAGGTATTTTTTGTACATGGAAGAGGTTTCATTTATACCGCTGTGAAAGGCTTCATGTTTTAAAGATCTTGCAAGGCTCAGAGTAACCCGCTTCAGGATAGATAGCCATTTCCACCATTTTGTCTTGCCATGTTGGTTCTTATTTCGATGGAAAATCAGGTGTAAGGTTGAATGGACAGCAAATACTTGGTCTGCCTCCGTTTCTGCCATGCTTGAGTCCCTTTGGTGGTGGCTGTAAGAAGCAAAAGAGATGGAACCCTTTGGGTGGAAAATTTAGTGCGAAGGAAGGCCTGTTCACTATGTCCACCAGTCAAAAGATTTACCAACATTTCTGGACCGACGATGCTATCTCAAACATATTATGGAAAGCACGGCATTGTATCACCAACGTTCCAACAAAATTCCTGGCTGCATTGGTGATCTGATTCAACAGTCTTCGCCTTATTTTGGGGGGAAGTTGCATCTGGCTGCGGAGCAGATCCATCCGAGGTAGTTAACCAGTTTGTTAGACTACCATGCTGAGTAATACAAACCCGGATCCGTGCCCTAATTTTGGAGATGCAGTTAATATATTTCTACTGATATGCACGGCATTTCCGATTTGTCTTGAAGGGTTTTGGATTCTGATCGCCGAGGCTGATGGAAAGTCATCTTAAATCTCACAAAGAAAGTCTTCCAAGCGGAGACTAGGCCAACACATAGACTCAAACCGAGATAATACCACATTCAAGCAGTCCAGGACTTGATTCGTTTGCTCCCGTTAATCCATAGTGTAGATACCGTCCCAAGGAAGATTTCCATTTAGGCATGAACCTGGAAAGCAAGGCCGTCAAGTGCACGGCCAAGCGAATTAAAATCATAACATTCGGCAACGTTGAGCAGGAAGTTGTCTAGACAGAACAGATCTTCTTACACACACTCGTTTCTTTTCCTTCCTCTTCTTTCTTGCCCCTTCCCTTTCCAAGAGCGGACCTGCTATCAAGAGAATGGTTCGATATCGTACAGCATGTCAGGAGGTCCTGGGGCCGCGTTCGGCGGCGATAGGGTCATACCATATTTTCATACCAGGGTAAGTGCAAGGGGCACTTCTTAGGCCACTGTTCAGACCAGAAGTGTACTTGGGAGTAAGAGTTCGGACGTACACAATTTCCCTTTCGGCAGCGGTAGTGCCGCGGTCATATTGTGAACGACGGCGCCGCTGCTCATCACGGTATTGCTGTCCAACCCGCGGGGCAAATAAACCTAGAGGCATCTCGGTTACACACAACCCAGCTAAGTATGAGTACCTTGGGTCTTGCGCACCAACATGCTCAGCATTTTCAATACTGCGGCGCATCTTTGAAGGGTTGTCGGGCCCTGGGAAACGATCCTCGGAGCCGGCAAGGGATCCACTGCCGGTATGAAAGATCTACAGTCTCGGTGTGAACAGACCTTCGACACTGTTGAAAGGGTGCATGCACTGACTTTGGGGCGAAAGGATGGATGCTCTAACATCACCGAACTATTCCGAAATTTTTGCACGAGACAATCTTTGCCTTGTATCGCTAATTTTGTGTTTCAGACCTTGAAAACTGAGTCACAGGTGGTGTCACACTTACTCGCATACGATACTTCAGCTACCTTATCGCTGTTGAAACAGTTCCTATACCACATCATCAATACAGTTTTGATAATCTTGGCAGGGAGAAGTGAGACATACCAGGTGCGCCCCGCTCGTACGTTAACAAACTAGGGCATAGCATGGTAAGCAGCATAGCTGAGATTGTCGTACAATATGTATACTAACATCGATAATGTCGATCGGCTAATGGACAACGTTAATACTGAGAGACAAAGAATGCAATAACACTTACGTCCTCGAAGTTGATGAAAGCATAGCCGACGCTAAGGCCGCCATCAGTAATGTAAACGCCGCAAAAACATTCAAACCTGACCTACTTGCAATTGTTCGCAAAATCTTTCCTCGCTACTGTCAGCCTTCCACGGCTTTCAAATCACAAACACGAGAAGAAAAGCCGCCTTTTTTTTTACCGATCCGTAGATACATGAAATCATACTTCCCGTGACTTGTCTCGTCAACAATAGTCTTCAGCATAGTCTTGGGTCACGTCAGTTTTCAGCTGATCATCAAGCTTAGCATCCTTGGATCACCTGGTCAATCTTGTTTGGGATATTTCGGAGCATGATCTTAAATGAGAAGGATTAGTCACATTATCAACCGTAGTAATGGCGGGTGCCTACCGTAGTTCGGACGTCCAGGCCAAGACGGATACGCTCTGTATCTACAGCATTTTGATTGGTCACTCGTAGATCAGAGTACTGGCTCATCTCACGCCGGGGTGAAGGCATGACGTTTTCTCCCGCCCTAGACATCCAATCCATGAGATCGGCATGCTCACCCGGGGGGACGGTAGAGCGCCCAGTTGGACTAAGTTCCATGTAAGGGATTCGATTTGGTCGACTTGGGGTCCAAGATGCGTTTCTGTTGGACGAAACCTCACTTCTGGAGAACTCATCCTTCCCTGGAGATGGGCTTGAAACGGCGGAAAGGAAGGCAGAATCCTCCGTATCGGGCTTGAAGTGTGAGACTTCTAGAACGCAATCCTGTTGATTTTGATAAATAATCAGGCATTGGTCTCATTGGTTTTGCTACTTGGGGTTCACGATTCAACTTACATCAACAGAGGTCCTATTAAGGGTAGTCATCACGTTCTCAGCATCGCGGGTATTAAAAAACTCAAGATGAAACTGCCCCATGTTTTCCTGTCCACTGGGTAACAACTGGAAGGTTTTGATATCGCCAAATGTCTCCGTGAGCGTCTCCAGAGAGCGGGCCACACTTTGCTGATTCAAGCTGGGGTTTCGGCTATCATAGTAAACTGTTATGAGCAACTGGCCTTCATAGTCTGAGGTTTGAGAGAGAAGAGACGGCTCCAACCGCTGCACGTATTCCCTGGCTGTAAGAGGAAACACACGCCATTCTGGTCGGAGAAGGTATATCTTCTCTAAAGCTTTCTTTGCCTCACGACTGTCTGTGAATGCGACGTATACTTTGCCCAAGGAACTAAGCTCTGTGAGAACAGGTCCCTTCAGCGTTGTGAATTCACGGCGCTTTTTGAAGTTAGTAGTGGCATCTTCAATTGACAACACCCATTGGCCAATCCCTCTTCAACGAATGTTAACGTTCTGTGAAGTAAACTTACATTGAAGAACCCAGCGAGTGCCATATAAGTAAGGTTTGCGGAAACATTCTCTATGACCAGAGCCCGACTACATCTTTCGGCATCAAATCTATCGAGAACAACGCCCATTGAGTTATTCTTCCTGTTACTCTGGACAGGGCTAAAGGCCTCGTGATCAGACACGGTCTGCTCAATGAAACTCGCGCGAGTGTTTTCAGCACCAGACATGAATGCACTTGCGACGAATCGAGGCTGGCTATCAAGGTCCGCCGTGTCTGAGACCGCCGTCGGCGTAAAGCTTGCAGCCGTTGGAGAAAGTTGAATCCTGTTAGAGGAGCTTGTTGACACCAGAAACGGGTCAGAAGTGTTCCTGCCTGCTGTTAGGAGATAAGATGACATGTTTTCAGCAGTTCTTCTTACACCGAATAGATCTTTCGAAGCCCCGAGTCGTTCAACGGGCCACTGGCGCTGGACTCAGGCCGAGGTTTTGATCGTACATCGTCGGGTGAAAAGGCCGTGATTCTGGTATCTGGAGATCCGTTGGGAGAAGTTATCCCATCAGTAGAGCATGGGCTGCTCAAGCCACGAGTGTCGCTGGCCCTCATTCTGTAAGGCAATGGGGAAGACACTTTGTCTTTTCGTACTCAACTACAGGTATGACGGACAACGAAAAAGAATGTTGGCTGGGAAACAAATCCAGAAGCGATTGGAGGAAGGTTGAGTAGAATGGCATCCACGGATTGCCGATAAACTCGTGACAAGAACAAGACTTGGAATATGAGAAAGTGACACTCTCGGAAGGGTGCTGGGTAGAGGGTATAAATTTGGACTATGTGCTTTAGGGAATGCCAGAATGTAGGGGGACGAAAGTGAGAGATTGAGTAATGTGAGAGAGTAGGGGGGGAGACGAGGGGGAAAAACACTACGAACACATTTGAAGAGAGCGCCCTAAATGGTGTGGTGGATTCGGTGACTCTGGGCAGGTCTACAACTAGCCATATCCACCCTTCGATATATGGCTGCCGGCAACCTCCTACCGCTGGCTGTACTTGTAATGCCAAAGTAGCTGTGCGCGTATCAGGCATACGTGTAGCACCGAGGTCTATAATGAACCTGTAGCTCTGTGGCGATGTCGCAGAGGCTTGCTGAACAATCGACAGCATGTTCAGCCCCGCGAGGGCTGCCAGAATATTTTGATCGTTGGGGAGTGAAAGTGAAACTTTGCATAGCAACTTGACCGATAGGCTTTCGTTCCGACATCTGAGGGAGTTGTGAGTACATACATGTATGCATATTTCAAAATGCCTGGGCTTCTAGCCAATATTCCCAGCACCTGCCTGCCTGCAGAGGGGGGACCCCCAGCCATGATTCACAGTGAAGGACCAATTTTGGTTGCCCAAGACACACGCTCACAGTATTTGGTTATGTTTGGCCTCTAGCACTCACTCACTGCACTGCCCTGCCGGGTTGAAGAAAGTTGGCTATATGAAACCAAAATACTTCTCTCAGGCTACAGTCCCAACTGTGAGATGGTTTGAATAGACTAAAGATTGTAAACTTGCAAGTCCGTGTGAAGGTAGGTATAACAATCCTTTATGCAGCAGCTGAGGGTGTGTGTACAGATGGGGCGCTAGCATGGTATTGGTTACATAAGGTACCTACCCTAGTTACGTAGGTATTATTACCTTAAGGTACAGTACCTATCCACCTTATATGTACATTTGAATGTACAGTACATACTCAATACTGGTGTTTTGTATGATAATACGGGTACAGTAGGTACAGTATAGTATTATACCTATGGATATCTAAGGTATGTAATGTATATACATACCGACCTTACATTGACCTTATCGTCTGTATGCATCTGACGCAGTGGCTCTCGCATGGACCTGAAGTCGGCGTCCTCTCGGAATACCTGCTATCAAGGCCATTGCTTTCCCCCAATGAAGTTCTGCATCAACCAGCGACAAAAGCCAAATTTCTATTCTTGTTACATTTGCCTCGCATTTGGGCGCTTTCTGTTCTAATCCCCTCCCCTTCCCCTCTTCTTCGTCGCGTGGCCTTATCGCCGGACGACCTGCGCGGCGGGAGCTCCAAGGCTAGATCTATCTATCTATCATACTCTTCTAGTCAAGTCGCCAGGATGCCTTCTATGGGTCCTCGCAATGATCCATCTTATGTTCTGAACCAGGTAGGGGATAGAAGGGGAAATATTGACTCACTTTGCTAATTCAATGGACTCGCTAGATCATCATATCACCGTCAGACACCGACTACCTCGACCAATTGATACCTTCCATCAGAGAATACAGCGTGGGTAACAGAACGCCACAACTACTACAGTCACTATCGAGTTTTGCTACCGACAAGGAGGCCGAGATTGAAACGATTTGCAACACCAATCACCAGGAATTTGTTACATCAGTCAATCAGCTTCTCCGCATTCGGGAAGGCACAGTCACTCTCACCGCTGAGATACTAGACCTCAATCAATCTATCCAAACCAGTACTGAAAAATTGGCCGAGCAGAAAAAGGCCCTGGTCGAATCCCGAAAACACCGGCAGAATATTGACGAGACATGCCGTGCCATCCAGGGCTGTCTGGAAGTGTTGCGCCTCGCGAATCAGGTCCATGACCTGTTGGCAAAGAAAAATCACTATGCTGCCCTCCGTGCACTCGAGGAGCTTCAAAACGTTCATCTGAAAGGCGTGAGTCAGTACAAAATTGCGGACATGATCCAGCGTTCAGCCCCGGCAACTCAAAGGGCCATAGCTGAAGCAGTCATGTCTGATCTGAACACATGGCTTTATAGAATCCGTGAGATGTCACAGTATCTAGGGGAGATCGCTTTATACCACACAGACTTGCGAAAAACGAGGCAGAAAGAGAGGGCGGACAGGATGACATATCTAGGACAGTTCAAATTGAATTCCGCGATTGAATTGGTCTCTGATGAGCATGAGGAGTACGATCTTTTGCACAACGAGGAGCTTCAGGTTGATTTTACGCCGTTATTTGAGTGCCTGCACATTCATCAGTCCCTCGGTCATATGGATAAATTCCGGATTGAGTATGCCAATACAAGACGTCGTCAAAAAGAACTACTGATACCAGCATTGATAACGCTTGTTGATGAAGATGGGTCCAGTTTGCATAATCTTTTGGAGGAAATGGCAGGTTTCGCTATTGTTGAGCGGTCTACGATGAAAAGAGTGCCAGAACTAAGGTCGCCTGTCGATGTAAACTCCGGAACCCCCCAGTTTTCTTTCCCTCCCAGGTGAAACTGATAAGCGTCAAAAGGTAGATGAACTTTGGGACTCGATGTGCCAAACTGCCGTGAGCCTGATATCCAACGCGCTCCCGGAAGTCGACAATGCCGAAAATCTGTTGAAGATCAAAAATCTCATCGCTTTGTTTATGCAAACCATGAACGTTGGTCTAACTAATCATGACGCTTCCTGGTCTTGACATTGTATAGCTGATTGTTCCATACCATCACAGGCATGGGATTTCTCCGTTGGTGTTTTCGATAAGTTTCTTTTGGTTTTGTTTAGGCAATACGCCGAGTTACTGAAAAAGAGGTTCAGTGATGACTTCCAAGAGGTAAGTCGCAAATTAAGTAACAATTTTTCTATCAATTGTGTACACTGTTCTCATACATTATATCCAGATCGTATCCACGGACGACTATATGCCTATGCCAATCCAAACGGCAGAAGAATTCGATAAAGTTCTCAACGTTAGTTGGTATAGCCCGGAGAAGTCACCGGAAGAACAAATGTACGACCTCAAGTCAAGTCACGATATATCAAGTCTTTTCATACGATACTAACTGTTTGAATCAGCTTTCCATGTGTCTTGCCATTTTCTCAGATGTATCCACTGTGTTGCATTGATATTAGGAATTTCTTGAATCAGTTTTACTTCTTCGCGAATGATGATTTTGCTCATCCAAGCATCATTGACGAAACACTGAAAGATGTAAGTCATGGTGGACAATGACCGGTGCGCGTTGCTGACTACCTTAGGCTATCGACGAGTTGCTGTCGAATCAAGTTTGTGATACGCTTGTTGAGCGCCTTGCATCCCAGTACTTGGGACAAATTGTACAGATACTCATCAACCTAGAGCATTTTGAACTTGCTTGTCATGAGCTTGAGCTACTTCTGGTGGCTGCAAGGTCTCAGAATTGCTTGGGTGGCTCGGTCACCTTGAAGGCAACGGAAAAATTCAGAAGCAATAAAAAAGCAGCGGAAAAGCGCATCTTTGAGGTCGTGAACTCCAAAATTGATGACCTCATTGAAACCGCGGAATATGACTGGATGGCACAAGCTTCGCCCGTGGAGCCAAGCAACTACATGCAGACGCTTACCCGTTTCTTATCAAATATCATGAATTCGACATTACTTGGACTTCCGACGGAGATAAAGGAGCTCATTTACTTCGATGCCCTGAGTCATGCCGCCAACATGATTCTTGTATGTTGTTACCATGACCCAATTCCGACGTTCCCCGTGGAATTGCTAACTCTTTGCTCTAGGCACTGCCTCTTTCAGCAGACGTGAAAAGAATCAACCCCAATGGCGTCATGGCGCTTGCGAAGGATGTCGAGTATCTATATGACTTTGTAGACAGCCTTGACGTTCCCATACTGCGAGAGAACCTCGATGAACTACAGCAAACCGTCCAGTTGATGCAAGCCGAGAACACTGATGAATTCTACGATATTTCGACGCGGAACAAGAAATACGGTCGTGTAGATGCGATCAATGGACCAGTACTTCTAGAAAAGTGAGTTCTAATGATTGTGCTGGGATCTTTTTCTTATGCTAATCTTCGCCAAGGGTCACGCGTACTGTTCAAAGTCCAGTCAAAACCGATAAGTTCACGACGCTCTCATCAAGATTTGGAAAGAAGACTTGATACCCTTTCCATGTTTATAATGATGCACCAGCAGCAGATCTTGCGTGATAATATACGGCTGTTTTGAGGGGAAAGGGAGAAAGAATCTCAGAAGAACAAAAGACCAAGAACGAGTTCACTGGATGCGCAGGATATTAGAACCGGAATTGGGTATGTGACTAGGTTAATATACTGGGCCAAAGACATGTCAAATATCTGAAATATGTTTATTAACACCGAGAATATTTCCACTAGCCTCTCAAATAAGCAAAAACACCGCCGAAACCTAAAGATAGTCAAATGTGGAATGGACACACTAGGGTATCCATGATTTTCACTGAAATTTCCATAGTTAGCCAAGAACCCCGAGCGACCTGTTCAACGAATATCAAAGCTATCTGGAGGGCCAGAACATACCTGCTGTGGTGGCATATGGGGGTAGGCAGCATACATCCCTTCAAACATTTGAGACTGCGGTTGCCCGTAAGCGCCAGTCGGATCTGATTGCACAGCACCTGTGTACATAGTCGGCTGCCGGTATTCTTGGTCCTGAAGACCATGTTGGCCCAGGCTGTACTCCGGAGGAGCCATATGATGAGAGGGATGTTGAACTCCATGCTGAGGTGGCAGCTGGCTTGCACCTGCAGATCCAGAAGAGCCAGCGGGAGCTCCCGCTGTCTGACTGGTTCGCTTCGCATGCGACGTGGCCTCTTCCCGGGGCACAATATCAATGAGAAAATCGAACATGTCAGATTTCGACAATGCTGCTGCAATGTCTGATCTCTGAAGGGTGCGTCTCTTGTTGTCCTCAGCATGTATCCATGCGCGCATGGTCAGTTCTGTGATAAAAATATCACAACCTTTGGCAAAGAGAATTGGCGCCTCTGCGGATATCATTTTTACTTCAGGGTCGGCTTTCATGACTTTCTTTATACGGGCTAGCGGCAGTTGGTGGATTTTATAGTCATGGTTGTCAGATTCAAGGTGATTGATGATGTGCTGCCAATATGTCGTCAAAATATCTCGGGCCGTCCCTTGCAAGCCCTGGTTGACCTAAACAGAATAAGACTTGTGACCGATTGCCTAGGGTTGATCACACATACATTTGCCCAAGTACCCGTGTAAAGCTCAGCTACAGGCGCGTAGCCTTGTGCAGAAAGCTATTTCGTAGCAGGTCAGCCAATTCCAGGTCGCCCTAAGCAAATATTAATCGGACTCGGATAGGAATAAGCGTACTGCTGCGCTGGCACCTGGTTATGTCAATATCAATCAAGTATCAAAACTGGGGATGACACAACAGAATTTAGGCACGCCTACCATAGTGACCGCCATTTCTAGTATCGTATACTGGCTGCTGTCTGCCCTGCTGCTGTCCGGCATTCTGTGGGGCTTGCTCCATTGTGTATCGGATCGAGGTCGATGATTATAGTTTCGCTGGGATGGATGATATTGTCATTGGCATCTACCGGAGGTCGCTGTGGAACTTGTCAGGAGAAGCAACCACAAAGTCTGCCTGTAAGTAGGTACTACCGACACTGGATATTTCAGAGAATAAGGGTTACCTGTAGTTTGCTAAGCAAATAACGTACGCTTGATGTTCTGGGAGGGGAGCGTTGATGGAGGTCAGGTACTGAGGTTGAATAGCGCGCAACGGAGCGCGCCAAGCACATGCGTAGCTTGAACTGACGTTTGCGGAAGGAGCGTGCGGGGAACATTAATAATACTGCCTGGTACAGCTAATACACCGTATGTACCTACTGTATCCTGATGTATTGTACATACCGAAGTAGGTAAGTATGTACATACATGTACAAATGTAGTGAATCTTTATTGATTCTCTAAAATATATGTACTGTACATAGGTAAAGTGATATACAGCTGTTAGAGTAATACGTAGGTATTGATTTATTTACGTACATATCTAAGGTACCAGCTGCACCTACGTAGGTAGATACTTGTAGAGTATGGCAGGTAGAGGTATGTACATATGTATGTATCTTACCTGTGTTGATGTTATGTTGCATACAGTATGTACAGATATTCAGGAGATTTCATGTTTATGTTTCCTTCTCTCGGGCGGTATACAATGGTACCTACCAACCTGCACCAAACCAGGAACATTAATATTCCGCCCCACATCACAAATTTTTCTTGAGCAGCCGAGTGCCTAGCTGAAGTGGCTTCGCGGCGCTGGTTTTATAAATACCTCGCAATCTGCCGATGTGCCGCCACCCTTTCTGGGATTGTTTTTATTTCCTTTCTCTTTCTTCAAACTGCAGGGATGGAAACAGATAAGCCAATCGACGTCGCTTCGCCCCACGAAGCAGACTTGACAGACAACAACATCCAACAACTCCTGCTCGAGGCGGAAAACAGATTGCGAACAATTGCAACCCATTCCGAACACCCGTCACCTAGGTATGCGTTAAGTGATTTCCCATGCAAAATGGATGCATTTCTGTATCATCTGCTTTTCCACCCGGTTGGCCTGAGCCTGGCACATTTATTAACCTGCAATTCGATATCTCTTGATAGGGTCCCTCAACTATCCCATGATTGCGTGCAGCAATCATACATCCGTCAAGATGACATTGTAACAACTGATCCGGCTCGAGTAAATGATAATCTGAAGAAAAGCACATCTACTCTGCCACATCCAGCACAAGACTCACCGGCAGAGAAAACCAAACCCAAGCAGGTAAGCATTTTTGATACCTGTTTGTTACCTTTCCATATGCTATGAGGAAAACATTTCTCGCGTAAGCGCTTGATGCAGCTTCACCAGTCCGTCTTGGACTGCGCTGTGCCAATGAGAGTTCTATTTTTCATAGTTACTCTGAGCATAATCAACAAAGCTTCGATGGTTCATCGTAACATGGTGTGGATTGGGCTAACATCTGTGTCGATCATCAAGGAAAAACAAACAGCAGGTGCCGACTGGTTCAATCTCCCGAAAACTGAGTTGACGCCGGAACTCAAACGAGACCTGCAGATCCTACGGATGCGCTCAGTATTAGATCCTAAACGTCATTATAAAAAGGAAAATGGCAAAGTCCAACCACCCCAGTATTCTCAGATTGGAACCATTATCGAAGGCCCGGGCGAGTTCTTCAGTGGGCGCATTACTAAGAAAGACCGGAAAAAGACCTTTGTCGAAGAAGTATTGGCCTCCGAACGTGAATCTCGCCGTTTCGAGTCGAAGTACCAAGGCATTCAGGCTACTAAAAAGAGTGGCAAAGGAGAATATTACAAAAACCTGCGAGCCAAACGGCATATGAAGGGCAAATGAAGAAGTGACTTCTGCCCTCGGTATGGCCTGAGCCAACACCAGGGGGTGAACGAATTCGAATGATGCTTATTCACAGGAATTGGTTGCGCAAGATGTCCCGACGATCCCACCCTTTTGTGCATTCGGGCACAGTCATCTAACTATGCTGATCCATGAAAACATCTGAGACTAGTCGCGTGACGATTTTCTATTTGGAATTATCATCAGTATACAGAGGCACGCTCTGGGGAGGGGATGCGAACCTGCATATCAATGGCGGCAGAACGGCCTGCTTCAAGAACTTCTTCATGATTTGCTTTCCCTTTCTGCAGGATAGCATCTAGTTCTTGCGTGTCTTTCCCCTGAATCAGGTTGTCGTCTCCACGAGGCCCAGGGGAGAGGACGGCTGTGTTTGTCACGAGGCTGAGTGCAAGAACCCTGAGACCGGTGTGTCTAGCGACTACAATTTCCGGAACAGTCGACATGCCGACTACGTCCGCGCCCAGCTGATGAAGAAGACGACACTCTGCCCTAGTCTCATAGCTGAAATACTCGGTACTCAGCAACGGGGTTGCATCTTGTAGGTAAGGACATTGTAGAGCTGACTTACCTTGGTCCTCCTACAAAAGCATACACACCCTCGTGCAGTCTTCTCTTTTGCGGCTGCGATAGCTCCTTCCAGATCTCATGTGTATGACGACGAAGCTCAAGATCATAAGCGTCCGACAGTGGAGGAAATCGAGGACCGAACTCTTCACTATTCGGTCCCCGCAGCGGGTGGATTCCTGCCAGTCCAGCTAAAAAAAGGTGCTATAGAAATGTTAGAATACACATTCATCAAACATGGTATGAACTTACATCGTTAAGCAACACAATGTCACCCACAGCGTAGTCTGGGTTGAGCCCTCCGGCGGCATTGGTCACTAGAGTTTGGCTGTTGGAGAATGATCGACATAACTGTAGTAACGAAAGACTTACATATGACGGTATCAACACCCAGGCGCTTAAAAACTCGAATGGGAAATGTCACTTGATCAATGGAATGCCCTTCGTAATAGCTAAAATTTGTGAGATTTTTGCATATAACGCACAAACTCACTGGATGGCTCTCACTGTGCACGGCCGACCATCAAGACCGCAGGAACCTGCCCATTGATAAGACCAAAGACAAGCTTTCCGGCATGCCCAGCAACTACAGCGAGTTAGAGCTTGAATATCCAAGAAATCTCCAGTTCTGATCTTACCTGTAAGGCAAGGAAAATGGGGTATAGAAGAATAATCGAACTCTGCCCGTGGTCCATGTTGTATTGTGTCGGCGAGCCCTCCCAGACCTGAACCACAGATGATTGCAACTTTTGGATTCTGCAGAGGAACTGGAAGGTGATCTGTCAACATCGAACAAGCCTCATTGGCTCGTTCAAACGAGGACGGGCCGCTCTGAAGCTGAGCCATGTTCACAAGAATGACTGATTTTCAACTTTGAAGAACTAAAAGAGGCAGAGAACTCAATCAAACTCCTCCGAAGCTTTACGCGGGGTGCTTATAGTATCATGTGATCTTGGCACCTATCTGCTTACGTAAGGTCCGCGGAGACAAAGAAAATGACTTCAGCAAAGGACAAAACGAGTACACCCAAGGTTTGCTCCGGGACACGCAGTGATTTAATATGTTCGCCCCTAAGAATTTCCACCTTCTATTGAAGGCTGGGAAAGGAAGTCAGGTACTGGCTCAAAGTTTCCAATCACAGTCGTGCGACAGGATGAAGCGCTAACTTTTGATTTTTTCCCCCCTTATGAGAAGCAGTCGTTTATGTTTCGTCGCTGCTTAGCAACCGCCAACTCGAATGCTGAACTTAGCTCTAGCCAAGCCCAGAAGCCCGCTGAAAATGCTACGATGTTAGCGATCCGTTCATCTCGAATTCAAGTTAGATCGGTTGCTAATTCCCAACGCCATCTCCAGCGCAGAGAAACTAGAGCAAACACCTGGAGGGCCTGCGAAAGAGTGGTCAGTATTAACGGACAGCTCAAGGCTATAAGTAAATTGCAGTCGATTCGTATGCTCACCAATTACATAGGGTCGATCGCTTGGATAACATAAATCGGAAAGCTCGGTTACCCCGAAGTGTACAGGCTGTATATTTACGACCGCTTCGAAAGGAAGCTGAATATGGTGTTCCCGTCTGCGACCTGCAATTAAGATCTTACAGCGTGCGAAATGTAGAGTTCTTCGCTGACTTTGCATTGCGTGCTGCATACTACCTCAAACTTCCTGTCTCAGGGCCGGTACCTCTACCGCGAATCACTGAACGCTGGACGTTCCCTCGGAGCAATTTCATCCACAAAAAGAGCCAGGAAAACTTCGAGAGAATAACACTTCGTCGGTTGTTGCAGGTCAAAGATGGGGACCCCCATGTTGTGCAAATATGGTTGTCTTTCCTGCGCAAACATGCGTTTTATGGGGTAGGCATGAAGGCCAACATCTGGGAGCACGAGAGCCTCGGTAATTTCATTCTGATCTATCTTTCTATAATGTTTCTGAACTAACTCTTGAATACAGATGTCGTCAAGGATATGGACAAGAATGTCCCTGCTATCGAAAAATCCCTAGAATCCCACTTGTCAGGATTCGGTCAGCGAGACAAGGAGGGACATTCAAAGATTTCGGATATCCTAGGTGACCAGCAACTCAGCCGAGCGGGTCCGTTGACTGAGGTTCGTGGAAGCTGAGTTCGGCACCTCATTCTCATGTATCAACAATGTTTTATATTTGATTAGGTATCTCTTGGCCTTTCTGTATTGTATGTTATGTCTATGCTCCAGATAAGAAGCGCCATGGAATTTCTGTCTCGGCATTAACAAACCCACCGAGTTCAAAGTAGTTTCAGCCCGCAATAGAGGAGGGACCACGTTCAAAGAAAATCCAATGGTATGTAGAGTGAATAAGGTGACATACTAGGTCAAAGCTGCCAGGTCTTTATACCGTAGACGTTGTGAATCAGGACTTTCATTCTTATTGAAAAGTGGTCCCATGGCTAAAGATGCCAAGAACCCTGATCCATTTTGCGCACGCCGCAAAGTACTCCGTATACGCTTCCATTTCACCTCGACTTCATCTCTAATACTGCGTCTCCAAACACTGATCACATTGTGTCATGTCAAACTAATTTGATGCTTCTAGAGCGTGCTTGCCGAAGTTTTCCATGCTGACAACCGCGCGCCAATGCCTCGACTCTCCAGTGCCTTGATTGCAAGGGCATACCAACAACACCCTTTCCTCCCTCTTCTGTTACGTGAATGCCGCACCATTGAGTCTGCACGTAATGAACTTCGCTGGTTAGGGGAACGAGCCACTTCTATATCAGCAAAGCTTCAAGCAGCGGATGGGTCTATTGTTCCGAGGCGGAAGAAAATATTAGGCTCTATGTGCCGCGCTCGGTCAAGAGGTGTGCCTTTACAGTACATTCTCGGTGATCAACCATTTGGAGACCTAGAGATTCTGTGCCGAAGAGGAGTGCTGATTCCAAGGTGATTCTACAACCAGTCCTACTGCCATCGTGCCTACTGGGAATCTCGTCTGTCTCCATTCTGCAATGCATTTTATATTAATTTTTCTTTTTCTTTCCCCGCCTAATGACAAAGCTATTTCTGACTATATTGGACAAGCTAGGGTAGAAACCGAGACATTTACCATACGTACGGCCAATCTGATATTGGAGAGAATACGCTCAAATAAGCGTGCCGGAGCAATCGCGGAGAACGACCATTTTCGCGTCGTGGATCTTTGCACTGGTACAGGATGTATATCATTGCTTCTCCACGCTCTTCTTTCGCCCCATTTGCGAGTGTCCATTGCTGGTATTGACATCAGCCCAATGGCAGTTCGTCTGGCCAACATGAATCTCTTACACAATATCCAGCTAGGTTCTATATCAGAGCAAGCAGGACAAGACGTGTACTTTCGAGAGGGGAATGTGCTTTTTCCATCTAACGGAAGAGCCCCTAGCGTCAAAGATGCTCTCCGTGAGATCTCAGCATTTTCTTTCCAGGAGAGGTTGCATTGTGACGTTATCATTGCAAACCCACCTTACATAGCGCCTGTGTCTTTTTGGGACGGTACTACAGCGCGCAGTGTCCGAATGTTCGAGCCTAGTCTTGCATTGGTTCCACCGGCAATATCCCGTGTTTCCATGATTGACACAGTCAGACAGGAAGACATTTTCTTTCATTATATCCTTAGGCTGGCACTTGATGCTCAAGCAGAGCTCACGATACTTGAATGTGGGGATCTCGTCCAGGCTCGACGGGTGGTGTTGATGTGCAGACACATGGCGAGCGCCCTGCAGCAGGATGTCTCGGTTGAAATGTGGTCAAGCGAGGATGGGCCTTCTATTGAGGGAAATGGACCATATGCGGTTGCTCTCCTACGAAAGGCTGGTCCTTGGTGCCAAGTAGATGTTTAAGTAGTCTTGGATTTTAAAGCCTGTATATACTGAGATTTGCAACTCAACTTTCTCGTAAAATCATCGTCTTTAAAGCCGACACCGATAAGCCTAGACCCAAAAAAGAAAAGAGTAAAGAGAAACAAGCGGGAAAATAAAAATAAGAAAGAGGGAAAAGAATGTCAGAAGTCCAGCCAAGATGTGCCGCTGCAAGAGCCGGGACAGCGATCCAGCGATGGTGGTATTCAAGAACGCTGTATGAGTGAACAGCTCTAGAACGCGACTAGGTATCCTACTGCTGCAGCACCGAAGGCGAGTAATGCTGGGGTATTGGTTGGATCGGCATTGACAGCCGCTCCTGTACTGCTTGCTGATGACAGCCCAGTGAAGATGCCACCTGTCGGTCCACCAATCCTCGCTCCAGAGTCATCGGCAACAACCGACGTAACAGGGTGAGAGACCTGAGTTGCTCCGGGCACTGAGTCTTCACCTGTCCCAATCTCAAGTATGTGGTCGTTGGTTGAGTTAAAGTTGGTATTGGCTAGAGAGATCTCATTGTTGGCAAGGTCGTATACGACATATGCGCTGCGAAGGAAAGTATCTCCCATAACAGCGGTGCTTTCCCCTGCAGGAACAATGCCAAAGATACAAGCACGAGCGCCATTTCGGAATTGAATGTCACCTGCATCAAGAACAAGTTCATCAATACCAACAGTGATGCTGGGTGCTGAAAACGTGTATGTTATATTGATGTCCTTCTGTGCCAGGCTGCACGGCACATAGCCAACGCCGCCGGATGGATCGTAGACAACACTGAGATCATCGTAAATGTCTTTCACAATGGAATCAGGAAGATAGGTCAGGGAGCTGCCAGAGTCCAGTAATACAGCGGCCGGGAGTGCCCCTGACGAGTAACTATGATGGTCTGATCCGGTATCACTCGAGACGCCGGTAAGAGCAATTATGAATTCCGAGTATTCGCCATTAACAGTTTGTATGGGTAAAGTCTGGAGTTCACCACGATACTTTTCCGTGTTGACGCCTCCGAATAGGATCGAACCCGTGTGTGCACCTAGATCGTTGAGCCAAAGGCTATAGGCGTTCGATTTGATCAAGCCGTTCTTGACCATTGCTTGAGGAAGGTTAGGGTAAGGGTCTTGTCCAAATCGGCCCACTTGGACTTCATTCGAGACATATCCTATGCCTAAGACCCCCTCTGAATGCAAGCTTCCGTCAGTTACTGGCCAGTCATGCTAACGCTGAGGATTTGCAAAAGATGGCTCAAGACGTTGAATTATGCGACATACCCGTAGAGCTTGAGGAATAGCCAACCCCAAACTGAAAATTCTTTATAGACGTGCCGCCTATTTGTAGGACATCCGTCACATAGTCGCCGGCCGCGCCTGTCCCGTCCGCATAGGTAATGTTGAAATCAGACGAGGTATATCTATATGACTTCGACGAGCTTGGATCATAGGAGCCAGATGCAGTACAAGGCTTGTGTGAAGAAGAGCAGAGGGTAGAGTTTGCCGCATTACACCACAAGTCACTGCTTCCGGTATCGATAACTAAACGTAGGCTTTGCTCGGGTGAGCCAAGGGTCACGTTGCTAAAGTAGAGGGTTTGCTATACAATTTATCAGAAAAACATAGTTACAAGTACGCCGAGCGGCCGCATTATATCAAGGAGGCAGAAATGTATCAACAAACCTCGTTATCTAGTTTCTGGCTGACTGTTTTATCTCGCTTTCGTCTTGTTTGGTCCCTCGACACTGGATCAAGGATCTCTTTGCGTTTGATATCCAATGCGACAATGGAAGGATTCTCCCTTCGATGAAGAATCAAGGCATATGTACCTTGGGATAATAGTGAAAATATGGGCAAGAGGAAAAGGAGCCACAGACACATGGTGATTACCCAACGGCAGCTCCGATAAGAACCCCCTCCCTGCTTGTTTCGCTCCTACGAATGGACAAGTCTTAAAGATTCAAAATCTGTGGCAAGTTGGCACGAGACGGTAGGAATCAAGAGTAGAAGTGAGGTAAATAGGGGCGGGAGCATCATGCATACGCATGCTCTGGTACGGGTGGCCTCCGGCATTGATATAGTACACACCGAAATATGGGTGACTGATGTATTCCACAGGCAGCGGAGTAAGTAAGTGCTCGGTAAGTTGGCCGATGATTGATTTACAGAGCGACCGGCCCCATTTGGAAGCTTGACTGGCTCAACCAGGAAGAAAAGAGACAGAGCTAGCGAGACTGTTGTCGTCATCACTTGTGGGGGGGTCCACTAAGGTAATCTCTCTACCGACCGACACAACCTAAGGAGTACTGTGTGTTCATTCCATACTCCGTACGGTGTAGCTGTCGCCAACTCTCTGCATAGTTCTTCTTCTGGTGGATACACCGTAGAAAGTCATGCATGGCATTTACTGCTAGCATCGTCCTATATAAAAACTTCAAACAACCGCAAGGAAACCTCGCGAGGGACATGGTCTTGCAACGCAACCATTCCCTTAACCCCGGTTGAGTCCTACGGAGTAGGCAGATATTACCCACCAAGATCCCGAACACTTCCGGATTCGCAAAACTTGAATGGAAGGTTATTATGTATCCGGAACTGCAATATCAACAATAATGTCAAACATCGGTGCTCGGTTCCCTCATAATGGCCATCACCCGCACTAATAAAGTTATATCTGCAAGCCTCCTGACAGTAGCAACTTTTACAAGAACCGAAGGTTAATGCGAATCTATCGAACAACGATGTTGAATAAGCATGAGACTGGGCTTAAGAGCCATGCATGCTCGTCAGATGCTATCTAGAATAGGCACTATTTGTGGCGAAACTGCAAAATGAGTGATATTCTCGCAGAGAATATGGAATAAAATCATCGGACACTACTTACCCACTGGTTTTCTTGTAAAATACACATGATGTGATTTATCGGTCAACATTCCCATTACAGCCCCAGAGTCTCTCGAACTCGACGCATGGTTACATCAGCATTAGCAGATGCGGTTCGAGCGCCCTCCTCTGCTACAACATCCAGATAATTTGTTTTGTCTGCGATAAGTGACAAGTACCTCTCTCGAATGGGTTGAAGGTGGAGGCTTATTTGGCTTCCGAGATGGCCCTTGAGTGATTGAAGACTTGATGACTTATACTCTGCAGCTAGGTCCTCACACGACCGTCCATCAAAGTGGCTAAGAATCTCCAAGAGATTAGAAACCCCAGGCCGATGGACTGGATCATAAGACACGCTGGCATCAGAATCTGTGAGTGCGGATTTAACCTTTTTATGAATATCCTCACTGCTGTCCGTGAGGAGAATCCGGGAGCGTTTGTCAGTGTGAGACTTAGACATCTTAAGGGTCGGTTCTTTAAGAGACATCACTCGCTTTGCAGGTGCTGGTGGTGGTCAGTTTATACCAGTGTGCGCTATAGGCCGTCCGAGAGATAATTCCTTACATATAATTGCTTCAGGGGCCGGAAAGATATTGCCATACAGATGGTTGAAGCTATTTGCAGTATACCTGGAGAATTCAAGGTGCTGCCTCTGGTCCTCTCCAACGGGAACATGCGTGGCTCTGGGTCATATTAGTACTAAGCCCAGTTTAAGCCATAAGCCACAAACCTGTGGACGAGAATGTCCGCCGCCTGCAAAACAGGATAAGAGAAAAGTCCAAGGCGTAGTTTTGCTCTTGCGGCGGAGTCTTCCAAACTTATGTCTTCTGGTAAGTCAAGTTTGCTCTGCGGTGTGTTAGGTAGACGATATTTTAATATCTCAATGGCCCTTCCAGCAAAGCATTCTTTTGAACTTTGAGTCCATATATTGCGGGAACGGAGCGGCTCACCTTCCATTGGGTCATGCGTGATAAGTATCCCATGGATGCTACCGTGCTTAGGATCCAAAACAATTCAGTGTGGGCATGCACCTGATTATGGTCAGTGATTGCCGTTTAACTTTATTGGTCTAGAGCATCTCGTACAGCAGATTGATGGAATACAGTTGCGCGACTGGGGTCCAATCCCACGGCAAGCAACGTTGCAAATCCCTCTCTTCTCCAGGTTTTCAGCTGTCGGGCTTCTTGGGGCACCGTTAATGCGTGTAAATCAACGATTGAAAAGAACATGCGAGTATCCTTCGGAGCAGTATCCTGTAGCCGAACCCATTCTCTCAGGGCACCCAGATAATTGCCCAGGTGTGGCACCCCAGTTGGTTGAATTCCCGAAAAGATAATCTGGGGATTTGCCGACGACGTCGCTTTCGCTGCAGGTACGCTATTCCATCTTCTGGAACAAATCGTCAATCTTTGGTAAGCCTTTATTAGTGGGGCGTTCCTGCATAACACCAGAGGCAATGAGCTTGTAAGCATGTCCAATTGGATAGCCTAGCAGCCAGAGACTGATGTTTTTTTCAACGTGAGTACGGAGTACGTTGCGGTCTTTGCCAGAGGGCTACCGGGCGCTAAACCGCTTTAGAACTAATATACACAGTTCTGGCTCACTATACTGTATGGAGTAGGGAGCTATCTCAGCAAGCTCAGCCTATGGAGTACGGCAAGTGATAGCAGGGGCTGCTCGGGAACTTGGCAAGGACAAATCAGCCGATTTCTATGACCTTTGATTGCAGAATGAGTGCCAGGAGCTGCGCTCCGGGTGCCTGCCTGCGGCGGTTTATAGCGGCCACTCCGCAACAAAAGTAAAATTGGACTAATTTCGTTGAAGTCCTTTTACTGCTTATTAGACTACCACTTTAAACAGTATAGTAGGCACTCTATAGAAATTCAACCATCCAACCCGTCATATATACTAAGTCTACTATAAAAAGTTAGGTCAAACTTACCTGACCTCCTTAGTGTCACCTCCTGTCAGGGACCTAACAAATGAATGTGTCAGTGTGGAAGATCCGGGAGATTCCATCTGTGACGGTCTACAAAGGAGCCTAGTAAAAGACTAGTTTGTTTATGACTCGTAGTCAAGGAATTTTCCCATGGAGAAGAAAGGCTATCTAGGAGCGAGGGTCTAAGGCCTCTATATACTAACTGAGGCTCTGCCTCAGGCAGGAATGCCTTCGGGAAGGTTTCTCCGTACTAGGAAGTTCGTATCGGAAGTCCATATCGGGAAGTCCTTGGCTCAGGAGATAACAACACCATCTTCCTGCCAGCAAGTTCCTGTAATTAAATTTATCTTAATTATTATATTTTACATATGATTATAATTTATTTTTATGTAATTAAATAATTATATTAATAATTAAACTTAAATTTATAATATTTTAATTATTAATATTATTTTTGAGATCTCTTAAATTCCAATAGATTATTAATTTTTAAAATTAAATTATATAAAATTTGTTACGGGCTTGGCAGTGGTAGGTGCGTTTCTACCCGCCAAGACCGTTTAGTAGGACGTCCAGTTACTAACTGAGCTACTAAAAAGACCAGAATACCAAGTCGAAAACTTGGTATGCGCATCGCTCTATATAGTAAGCCTTGGTCAGTTCGTCACAAAATTGTTACGGTACAGACCTAGGGTACCTGAGGCACCTCTTCAGCGTGGCCCGGAACGTTATATTATCCGTTCTGGGATCCGCATATCTTTCCGTCTGCTTGAAGATCCTGTTGCAGCTCTTCGAGCTACGTCTTGTCTATAAGCCTGTAGATAGCTTGACCCTGTAACAATTCAGAGATATTGTGAACTTTTACTTTTAACGTAAAAACTGTAAAATATAAGATTTATAATCTAATTAAATCCTTTTATAATAGGGAAGCGTTACAGACACACTTCCCTCCGCTCCTGACACACCCCCACGTGACCAGGTAGCTTAGTCAGCCGCAGGTAGGGACCTCAGGCTTCACATATTAGCCCCTAGCCCTGAGCCCTGAACCCTGACTAGGCCTGACGTAGCTAGGCCGGATCGTATAATGAAGTTATTCAGAAGGCCGCTTGGTAATCAGCAAGCGGACGAGGTAAACAGACAGTAAAGTAAAAAAACAATAAAACTACTATTAAATTGCTCTATTATTTATACTGATATATTACATTATAAAATACCATTTTCTGACCAATCAGAGCCTTTTAATTAATAATAGTTATATTTACTATCTTTCGTTTACTCGTTTGAATACACAACTATTTCTTGATGTAACAGGAGCCGTTACCAGTATATCAGGCGAGAATAATTGTACCAGAGGTAATAACTGTATTAGAGTTGGATTTTGAGGCAGCTGTAGAAGTAAAGAGGCAAAGAATAATAGCAATAATGAAAGTAACGAGTTTACTGCCGTCCTTTCAGGCCGTTTAGGTATTTTAGTTTTCTTTAGCTAGAACTCGTTTTAACTCAGAGAGATCTCTTGTTAATATAAAAGGCGTAACAGGTGTATTTGATAGTTTACTACATACAGCTATAAAAATACGTAAAGAAAGAACGATCGTTTAAGACTCTGTAAAAAATATATTAACAGGAGTGTAAAGAAACCATTATTAATAAAAATGATTAATATTTAGTCATTTTCTGATTTATACATTCCTGGATGTTATGTATACAAGGGATTCCTCGTGTAACGCGTATTATTATGCCAATATATCTTTCTAGAATAGGGCATTTCATAATCAGATAAGAATTGTAGATATCAAATACTTTTTTGAGAGTGTAGTGAGTGAGATATCTTTTTAAATAGATTACCAAATAGAAATTCGCGGAATATATAAATAAAACTAGTAATTTATTCATTATCTTTTGCTTTGATATAACGGTTATGTTAATGCTCAAGTATTCTTTAAAATGGTAAAATAACGTAAAAAAGATCGGCATTAGAAGTTACAAGATCTCTTTTAAACTGCGCGTAAACATTTTTGCTGCAGGAAATTATACGCATATCAAGATAAAAGAATTTGTTAGTATAATAATAGAGTATACAAGATTGGGTATCTTTATTTAGCTATTCTTTCTTAATATATGAAAGTAAAGACTTAAAAAGAATTCCACTATACTCTTATTTAAATAGATTCCAGTAATCTATTGCTTGAACGTATAATTTCGCTTGTATAACAGTTTACTACTTAATTAATATACTTTTTTATTTTTTAGCTATTTCTGCATAGAATGCAGCCTTTTCTTTAGAATTCTTAAATTTTGGAGACTCGATCATATTACTGATCAAGTCCTTGTAGAGATAGGCCCGGGCTTTAACAAAAATACTTTTATTGATATACTAGAGATATATCAGATTGTCAGCTGTAAAAAAAACTTTTTTACATAAATTTATAAGGGCTTTCTCCTTATCTGTTAGAATTGTATATGGTAGTTATAAACCAAACTGAATGTAAACTTTGAATGGATTTTTAAGTAAAAAATTATACGAGCTTTGCTATTCATTATAATAAATACAAAACTAACAAAGAATGTATGTTCTGTTGCTGTAATCTCATTGATATTAAACAATAGTATCTTGTATCTGTTAGTCTTGTATATACAGTCTATAATTAAAACATATAAATTTAAACGAAATAAATCAAAACTGCTTTTGTATATACAAAAAAGGGTTATTAGATAATAATTTCTGTCAGTTATATAATTAAAAAGTTACTCTCCTAATAGACCTATAAAAAGAGCCTAAATATAAGTCCAGCCATTAAAAAATTTATAATGATATTTCTGCTGAAAGTTATAGATATCCCGGGAAAATAATGTTATAATATTATTCTGTTCAGTACTTTAAATAATCTGACGAGGTTTTATACCTACTGCAAGTTGATTCTCAATAGATTCAATGTTTCTTTTGATATCAATTTTCTATAGTATTGGATGGGTATAAGCTAGAGATATCTCGTAATTATAATTATCATTTATAATTTTAATCTTTCAGACCTATTCTGATTTTGAATCAGAACCAGATTGTACACGTTTAATAGCTGTACAGAAAGGGCAATTGTTTTAATAAAAGCTTTTTTGTCTTTTTCTTTTGATTTTGTTAATTTTGCTTTTATATATTTTGCTGCAATTATACTGTAGATATTGTACTCTGATCTGTTCGCCATTCTTATATTTTTTTGAATTCTCTGTAGTTAAAGCGTAGCCATGCTGCCGAGTGAAATCGTTAATAAAATTTATAGTTTCTTGCTCTGAGGCAAATCGGCAGTCAGTTAGTAATAAAAAAATATATTTGATTTATAAAATTCGATTAATTTTTTAGGTATAATAAGAAAATTGAATTATAGATCAAATTTTATATCAAGTAGAGAATCTTTATTAAATTCAAACTTTAAAAAAATCCCAATTTTCAACAGCAAATTTAGAACCAAAACAATAATAAAATTGACTACCTACCTCTCTCAGGGCATTAGTTAATCCTGTATCCTTTCATATTACAGCTAGAACAAGTAAACTCGCGGCAAATAGTAGACATTTAAAGTAATTCGGGTTCATATATAGCTTCTATAGAAGTTAGATCTAAAGATATATAATCACTATCACTATTTCTCTCAATACCAATATTATTTTGAATCTCTTTTAATTTCTCTAGACTACCCTTGTGAGTGGTCTGCTTTTTATATATATATATTTTACTTGTTTTTTATTTGTTTCTTTTAACTGGCGGTATCAATCGGAAAGAAAAAGATAGTAATAAAATAATTAAACTGTTATATTGTAATAGTACTGAATCTCTCTTTTTGTAAATAAAAGAGATTATCGGATAAAGGTTCTAGGCCTAAATCGATACAAAATTTAGATTTCTCTAGCTTTTTAAGTGTTTAGAGAGAATTAGAGTCACTATCACTACTGGAAGATAGTAGTCAATTTAGTAATAGTTCAATAAATATTAGAGATTTAAATTAGATATTCAACTTTTCTAACACATGATCCGGATTAAAAAAGACTAATCCAGTAGCTAAAAAGCCATTTTGAATAATAGTCTCTTTAAAAGTGTTATCGCACTCTAAAAAAGATATCCAGGAAATCTTCTTTTTCAATCGAATTGATATTAAGTCTTATGTATTCTGCCACTTTACCTCCGTATAAACGTTTTAAAATCGCAAAATAGCCTACATCAAGTGGCTGTAAGAGATGCGATACATAAAGTAACATACAAATAGGGATAATATCATTTTTAGAGTATAGCTTGTCAAATTCCGGAATAAAATAATTTCCATGACTATCCAGTACTAGAAAACAATGTTTTCCCTTTCTTAATTGTACATTTGGAATAAAATGTATTTTTAATTAATTAAAAGCAATCTTATTGTTTATTTAACTATTTTTTTCGAAATATTAACTCGCCAGTCAGCTTCTTTTAGGAAAAAATTTAACTAATGATGCTTAAACATTTTGCCTTTGAAAATGATATATAGCGGTAGGGCAACTCCCGAAGCCCTTATATATTCAATTACAGTAATTTATTTGCATTTTTTAGCTTGTAAAAGAGCTCTCTGACTATAATAATCAGCAGAAATAACAATTTTTTGAATAATATTTATTCCTATCGCAAACCCAGATTTATTGAAGTTGAAGATATTATCGGAGTCAATACTATATCTTTAAATAATTTATTTAACTAGTTTAAACTATAGCAGGATAATTCTAGGATCTTCAAAAGGAGCTTATTTATAGTTATATTTGCAAGATAGACGTGTCATAAGATTTAAACAGCATTTAACGATTTCTGTAGGCCAATTTTTTCCAACAGAAAGGGTAATAGTAGAGATTGTCTTTTCGCGTGATTGAAGTAGTAAATTAGCCATATTTTATAATATAGATAAATTGAAAGCTGCACCTCTCGAATCCATAAAGACTAACCAATATTCACTGAACTTTTTTTAAGCTAAGTAAATTTATAGCCATTTAATCACATATTATGCTTGTTTTGGCGACCCTTTATTCAAGCCGGTAGTACGTGGCACTTCAAAAGAGCGGGCAGCAG